TGGGCAATCTGCGATGCCAGAGCTTGAGGGATCAGAGTTCGCACCGATTGGCCTCTCGCCGCTGGCGGCGCTTGTCATTTCTTCTCGTCTCCGATTGTGCTCTAGTCACATTGAGAGTGGGGAGGGTAGCCATGGGGGGTGCAAGTTTGTTCGTGGGCCGGTTTTCATTAGCCTAGTCCAAGAGCGAGCATGTTCTCCATCATGCTCACTCAGCTCCGTTCGATGGCGAACGAATGGAGCAGATAGGCTGAATGTCCCTCTAACGTAGACTGCAGTACGTTAGATGATTTAGTTCTGGAGGAAGTGGGGGCACATGTGTCAGATCATCTCCCATGAGCGCGTAGTGCCGTAGCAGTAGCAAAGGGGTTAGGTAATAAAGAGTATTGGACCATAGATGCTAGCCTGATGGGCCTCGGGCCAAACCAATAGGGGCTCATTGCTAGTTGGGCTAGACCCTGGGCCATGGCCTAGGATAGTAAAAACAAACAATAGCTTAATTTCCGTGTTATTTGGTTTGAATTTATCTCCTAAACTTCAAGCATAACTCAAATTTGAGAACCTGTTTAGCTTGATGGTTATTGTTTTATTTACAAAATATTTTTATTTGCCACCAAATTAGGTTTTCTTTTTAGGGGGAGGGGGAGAGGAGTGACTTACCGTGCATTTAATTTTCTTATAACAAAAAACTTTTTTTTTTTAAAAAAAACAAACATAACAAAAACTTTAGGATACCACTGTTCGAGACCTTCAAGTGTTGTGAAAAATCAAAAGTTAGGTTGGGTTTAAAATCAATATTTTTGAATAGAAGAGCAGAGGTGTGCCCCTCTCAGCATGACAATTCAACCAACAAAGGACAAACAAAAATCTGTAAACCTCATAAAAGTTAATATGGAAAGAGCACTGCTACACGTACTCTAACACATACTATTTGCAGTCAAATTTGTTTTTTCTGTTAAATTTGAACTTGCATTTTTTTTGGGGAAAAGAAGATATATTATTTAGATTTTTTTTAGATAATGGATTTTCATTAATCCGGCCTCTATATCCACGAAGGATATACACAGCCAAATATTACTTAGAATTAGCTTCCTCTCTTACAATATGTGATACGGAAGGACAACCATCCTCTAGCCAAAAATTAGACTCCTCCTCACATCTAGCTCTGTTTGCTAAAATATATGTGTTGAGTACATTTATCAGTACTCTATTTGCTACACGTACTCACAATTTTGACTACGGGGGATTTTTGAATAACAATCTCCCTATTTCTAGACATAAGAGCATTGATCTCCCTGATTATATAGGCCAGGGTAGACAAATCCTTCTCTGCATATTGCAGCATGCGTACCGCTTCCAAGCAGTCTGATTCCACCACGATCGGTTTTAGAGTCCATTGAATCGCCAAAGCAATTCCTTCCTTGTATGCTAGAAGCTCCATTTCCCGTGCATCAGAGCACCTTCCAAAAAATCTGCAGGAAGAAAAGATGACAGTTCCCCTCTCATCTCTCAAGATCGTGCCAGTGCCTCCATTCTCATAATTCGGATCAAAAGAGCCATCTACATTAAGCTTCATCCATCCAGGCTGTGGTTTCCTCCATTTCTGAATCCAAGCCTGCTGAGCACAAGCCTTTTTAACTGACGGCCCCGGGAGATAGCTAACCACATGTTTCCCTTTTGCCAAATTAGCCATTGGGTGTTGTCGGATTTCTAATAGTGAAAAGATATAGTGATCTCTTGAAACCTCCTAGATGCCTCAGTTGGTGGAGCTGGTTTCCCATGAAGGATCTCATTTCAGCAGTACCAGTTCTCCACAAGACCATTAAGAACATGGCATGTTCTTCTTCCGGGCGTAGCTCTAGTTGATAAAAAAATCTTGGATGAGGCTGAACGCCTAACAACACACCACTCTGACAAACTCCCGGTACTCTACATAGCTTCCCACAAAGCTTTGGCAAGAGGACACCGACACAGCGCATGAAAGACATCCTCTGTTTCCATCCCACATACAGTATATGGATCTGAACTTGCATATTTGTATAGTGACATATTATATGTTGATCTATCATATCAAATTTTCTTAACGACATGTAAAAACGAGAAGTTGTCTCCTCAAAAGGTAAATAAACTTCCGCACAATATTGCACAGCAACTAGCAAGACAATGTACAACAAGTCCTAATAGCAAAGCACGGCTAAAGAACATAGTAATCTAGTTCTAGCCACAAGATGTATGCATAGGGATTTGTATTTTCTTTTTCAAAAATACAAATTGGACAGGATAAAGAAGAAGAAAAAAAGTCCACACCTGCACCCTTAGCGAGAAGCACGCATTACACACGCCGAAGAATCAAACACGAAAGGTATAACCTACAAATGGATTATGCCATTGTGGTTTAGGGATTCATGACCAAAGTTAATTAGCTCCATGCTAGCTAGGTGGCCACCCAGCCATGTGGACTACGGAATAAAATGGATCGGTGTTGTCAAACTCCGGTCTCCTTGATAGCTAACATGTTCATCTTGTAGCAGGGAGCCTACATGATTAGCAGTACGAAGGCTCTAGTGCTAGCTCTAGCATATCTACAGCTTCTCACCTGGTTTTCAGATCTGCTACTCCACAATCCATATGCCGTTTTAGTCTACAAGAAATTTACACCGCAAATCGTCATAACCTATGAGAAACCTATGAGAAGATGTTCATAGGACTTTGCTTTTCAGAAAACAGTACAAACATGGAAAGAATAATTAGGTATAAATACGAGTACATATGTCAAATCTATGATTTGAATACTGGTGGACAGATTAAAAAAAATATGACCAGCTGTGCAGTTAGTAATTTCATAAGAAATTTGCTATAACGGTTTTCTTCATGATCTTAAATGTGTAAGAAATTGGGACTTTTACGCACAAATCAACCTGCTGCAGCATCGAAGTTGAGCACATACGTGTTATCTATTTTTCAGTGACTTAGGCTAAAACTTCCACGTGTCCATTTTGGAGATTTATGTGGGCTTCACCGGAATACTAGTCAAAACTGGACTATAAGTGATTAGATGCATGGGCTGAAAAATCTGATAAAGTTGCTGGGCTACGGCGTAGGCAACTAAGCTGCGTGACCAAAAACTGCCATGGGCCCATGGAAAATGTTGAAATCCAATTGGCAACCTTAACCCTGTTGGTTTAGGTAATAAGTCCACTTGGACTCCCTTAACTAGTGGCAAAATCTGATTCGTATAGTTGAACTGTATAATACCAGGTATCTAACCCCTCAACTATTAAAATCGGTACAATTTAACTCTCTAGGCGGTTTTGTTGATGTGGCATCTACCGGATCCATTGTTTTGCTTATTAGGGGAATAAGCGAAATGACATATTTCCAAACGAAAAATAATTTGTGAATAAAACTTTTACATACGTGTTCTTAGCGATCTAAAAGCAAAGACTGAAAAATAAACTTCGATGAAAAAACCCCAAAATCAACTCCAAATTTAAGGTTGAAAATTCAAATTTTAGTTGATAAGTATAAGCATAAGTGAAAAGATGAGGCCCTATGTAGCAGTGTTAACCTGGTCTTTGTCCCACAAATATATATATGTATATATATATATGGGACCTATTTGTTATTCACCAAAAAATAGAATGAGCCCACATGTCATCCTCCCTTTCTCTCCCTCCTCTCTCTCTCTCTCTCCCCCTTTCTCTTTCTCTCCCCTTTCTCTTCGCCTTTAGCCATCTATGGGGTCGGGGGTCTGGAGTGGCGATGGCAGGAGGGAGGGTGGGCAGGCGGCTTGGCCTGCAGAAGCGTCGCCGCCTCCTCCTCCGCCTTCATTGCCAGCACCACCCCTAATCCGCTGAGAGCTAGCTTATTATCGTCCGCCTCGCTATCCAAGGCTGTCGCGTGGGGAGGGGGGAGGTAGCACCGCCGAGCTTGTGGGCGTGCTGGCGCAGGGCAGAGAGATGGGGAGGAAGGACAAAGAGGATAACATGTGAGCCCCACATGACAGGGGTCCTATATTTTTTTTATGACAAATAAGTCCCACTTATATGTTTTTAGTTCTTATACCACATAAGTGCCACGCCAATACCACATGGGCAAAGATCAAGTCAACACCGTCGTGTGCCACGTCAACAAAAACATCCTTCAAAACCGTTGAGGAAGTCAAATTGTACCGGTTTTAATAGGTGGGGTCGAGATATCCAGTATTACGGTTTAAGAGTACGAATCAAATTCGGCTACTAGTTAAGGGAGTCACAGTGGACTTATTCCTTGGTTTAGACCTGGAAGTACAGTAGTACACGTGGTTGAGTATAAAGTAATGGCCCAGCCCACAAAATTTTGTTAGAAAACAATATATACTGACTCGATCATCGATCACGTTGCCTTTTTCTTCTAACTCTTATTTCCAGCCATTCCTTTTTTACTCTGTCGATGTAATACTCTCTTCATTTCATATTATAAAACACTATTTTTTTAATCAACCTTCTTTAAATTTTACCAAATATATAAAAAAGCAAACATGTACAACACCAAATTAATAATGTTTATTTTGTATTAAAAATATTGCTATGGTTTTTTTAAAAACTTGGTAAACCTTAAAGAAGTTTGACTCATAAAAGGTTAAAATGTAAAACGGAGGGAGTAGTAACTTTGAATAAGTATTTTGTTTGGCAAGTATTTAAGAATTGCAAGGTCACATGTTTGATTTAACCAATTCAGACACTACAGATGCAGATTAAGAGCAACAGAGTTGGAAAAATCTCATGACAGGACTTGAAGATAAATATGTTCGCCCAGTAATTCTTGTAGTGTACAAATTTTTACCCTTTTAGGTTGACTATTTAATTACATCACCCCCTTTTTTTAAGCAGAATTAACATTTGATGAACTTTTGTTAGGAAAACATTTTGTGGCCTGAGGGAAACATCAGGCATTCAGTTGGTATTTTTTTTCTACAGGTATTTAGGGATTTGTCCCAACACATATGGCAAAGGCCAGGGATATAAATCATCTCCATTATATATAAAATTTGTTATTGTTCAGAACATTTCATCTATACAGAAAGTCCATCTAAGGATATTGAAGGCATATACAACACATGAACACATGCAAACATGTTATATACCTTACTAATTTTTGAATATTACACAGAAGAATTACACAGGAGACCCCAGTCATCAGCAGACATTGGATTGATCATGCAAATGGACACTGCAATATGCATCCACAGAGGTTAAAGTTTCAGTCACCTATGAAACAGTTTTTTGCCTTAACCTCCGAAGCCAACCAATACCAAAGTTGTGGATGGAAGTGCCTGGAGCTGAGGGGTTCAGGTCATAGAATCTTTCTTAGACAATGTGCAGTTGTTCAAGCAGGGCAACAACTGCAGGTATTACAGACTCATCACTAGCTGCTCAAGAAAAAAAAAAGAAAGATTCTAAAGAAGTGATTAGAGATTCTGAATTTTCTGGTAGCCATGTTTGCGGTTGAAGGGGATTGACAGCTATACTAGTTGCACGCCTCTGCGTTCATCAGTTTTATCCACAGCATCAGCATCATCATCATCATCAATCAGCACAGCGCGACCGCGCTATCAGATGATGCCTGCAGCATCATGTACATGCTAGTTTGATCAGACAGTTCCTGCGCAGACGGCACCGGCTCGATCATCGACAACCGCTCCAGCAGAGCGGTGAGCGCCTCGCGCATCCATTCGTACCGGCAGAGCTGGTAGGCTTCACCGGGGGAGACCTGTTCATTGATCATCAATAGTGAGTGACAGTAGCAGGTAAGTCTCTGAATTCTGAGATTCAGAGCTTCCATTGACACTTGAAAATGGTGAAAACTTGCAATTCATTGTGTGGTGGGACAATGGCTCACCCATCGACGGCCATGGGTCGCCTGCTCCGGCCACGACTCGAGCTCCTCAGTGACCTCCATGGCGAAGATGTAGCCCTTGCAAGCTCCCCTTGGGCTGCTGCTGTTCTGGCTGCTCTTGCTCTTGAACACCCAGTGTCCCAAGGTAGTCCTCTGGTACATGCACACAAGAAATGGCAAAGCAGCACCAAATGTCAATGAACCGAAAAATTTCGCATATCTGCCGGATTCAAAGGAGACACTGAATTGTTCTAACTTCTGTCACAATTTCGCAGTTGCATGTTGCATTTGCATTTCCACTGCAATTTCAGCAACTGTTCCTATCAGCATTGCAAGTTGCCTTAGAATTGAATGGTTTGAAATGATGAACCAAGCGAACAAGAGTCTTGTCCTATACATGGTACTAACAGCAACATGCTGACATGAATGCATCACCTACGTAGGAGTACTACTAATCAGGCTGGTGATGGCAGTGTGGGGGAGCAAGTAGGAAACACACCACATGCATAGTTGTTGGGGACATGGTTGCAATTCACACTAGATAAAAATAAAATATCAGCCTATTGACTCCGATCTGAAGGAGAAAAACTAGTTTTCTGATGTCGAACAGGCCGGTCGACGAAGTATGGAAGAAATAGGGGGGAAACAATAATTCATCTGGCTTAATTATACCGAGATCTTCTCCCCCAACTAGAAAATCACAATGATTTCAGAGTATCACCTTATAAAATGGTGGGTAATGATATGTTTATCCCCAACCCAATTGTGCTCTGCAGTACTGATTAGGTTGGTTAGTCAAAAACCATTTCGTTGCTGCTTTTTTTTTTCTATCTTGTGTGAGTCTCAAACCACCAACTGATTGCTAGTACAGTGCTAGAGTGCAGTTCTAGCCAATGCCAATGCCTATAGAGAAACTTCCATGTCGCTTTCACCATTGAGGCCTTCCTCTACATTCCTACATGTTTACTTAGAGCCATCTGACCATAGTTGCAAACCCATCAGCCTAGTTTAACCATTGCTGAGCTTTCAGTGACAGGGCAACTGGACAAATGGCTCCAAATATCGGCTGCTAAATTACTCCCACTATCAAGATTTGCGCCGCAACACGACACCGAAAAAGGCGTCGCGCCGTGATCCCGAACAGCAGACTTTTCAGGACGCAGGCAGCATTTTCTCTGGACGCTAATCAGCATTCACCACCAACAGTCCAACACCAGTGATCCACACGTCATCATCGTTTGTTGTTGTTAAGCATGCGGGGGAATCAATATAGTATGAAATCTACTGGCAAAGCAAAGAACAGTGAAGTGTTAAGCGAGAGAGGAAATGGTGAAGCTGCTAGTTACATTGACGATGCCCTTGACGCCGGCCTCCTCCATGGCCTCGCGGGACGCCGCCTCGTACACCTCCTCGTCGTCCTCCCATCCACCCTGTAAACAAGAGTAGAGCCAGATCGATCAATCATTTCGCTTCAAGAAACTCTGAACCATTCTGGTTTCAGGAAATCAACTCTGAACCATTTCGTTTCAAGAAACTCTGAACCATTTGGTCTCAAGAAAGTCTGAACCATTTCGGTTTCAGGAAAATTAACTCTGAACAATTTGGTTTCAGGAAATTGGGTCGGAACCATTCCGATTGAAGAAATCAGCACCGAGCAAATTTCATTTCGAAGAGAGATGGTGGTGCAGTTGGTACCTTGGGGAAGACCATGTCGGCGCGGTTGGGGGTGGAGACCATGAGCACCTCCACCTGGCCCGGAACGTCGCCGAGGATGCGAGGGTTGGCCTCGTCTTTCTTCACCCGGTACGGCACGCAGCTGCAATACGAACGGAACAAAAGATCGCAAGGAAAGAATTGATCAGCAAAAAGATTAGCAAGAAATCGATCAAGAACGCAGCGGGGGGATGGATCGATGGATATGCAGCAAGACGACCCACCCTGCGACGAGGCGGTACTCGTTGTCGTAGCGCTGCCTGAGGCGGCCCGTCCTGGCCACCACCTTGTCCGGCGACGACATTGCAATCTGCCGATCCTAACGCACGTGAGCAGATCACCAACATATACAAGAAGAAGCAAACAGAAAGTAGGGGAAATCTTGGTCACCTTATAAAGGAAGCAGAAGAAGGGTCAAGAAGACGAACAGAAAATGCCTCCTCTGCCTCTGGATGAGGAGAGGTGATGATGGGATTGGTGATGGCGGCAATGATGCCACGGCCTTATCTCTCCAAGGGGGGGAAGAAAATTGAAGACGATAAAATAGCAACGGAAGCGGAGGCAATCTCTCACAATTCACAGAACCGAGAGACGCGCACGCGCCTATAATGGCGCGAGGCCTCTTGGTTCCCGCCAGATTTATGGGCGACGACGCGCGAGTAGGAGAGAGAAAGAGAGAGAGAGAGAGAGAGAAGAGGGGTCAACCAACGTGACCCGCCTGGCAGTCTGCCATTGCTGCCACTGCCACCACCGACCCGCCCAAAGAAAGCTACGGCAGACAGATTTCGCGCCATTTCTATTTATGTTCCTCGATGGCTAAAATACGCTAATTTAAGCTGTCAGGGAAGCAACGAGGGAAAAATGCAGAGATTGCAGCAGGGGTGATCACGTTCTCGTGTGTTAGCGAGACAATGTGGTGTCAACTGTTAAAATTATAATACCTTCGTCTCAAAATAAACTAAGTTAGCTAACGATGTGATAAAATCCAGTACAACGAATTTAGACAAATGTTTATCTAGATTTATTATATTAGGTTGTGTCATATCCTAATTTATTTTAGGATTAAGGGAGTGTACTTTCAGGACAAGCTGAAAAATATATTCCCTTCGTTTGATTTATTTTAGGATAAAGGAAATATACTTGTAGAAGAAGCTGAAAATTATATTTTGTTCATTCGGAGATAGATGTGGGTAAGAAATTGGCTAATGGCCCGTGGCATCCCTACTTCTAAAGATTTAGCCATATCTATTTAGGTTTATTATTTAGGTTTATGATTTGGTCAAATTTTTAAAATTTGACTTTGATTTTATCTTAAATAGATATATATTTTTCTAAAAAAATGATATTTGTTAGTTAGTGTACACGGTATGTCCATGCAAAAATATAACTATATATGTATATATGATTCCACGAGAGTTTAACTTAGTGCTATGATTAAATCAATGTGTACGCTAAATTTTATTGTGCCATATAGTATTATATCTGTTGACTTCTAAAATGCCATATTGTTATACGGAGTATACTCTATGCGGTTTCATAATTTTTTATATTATGAATGATGTTGCGGTCTTCAAAATATATCTTCGACTATATTTTTCATTACATATTGAAAAAAGTAAGTAAACATTTAATTATGTTCAATTAGTTTTAAGAAGATATATCTATCGTTTTCTAGTGTTTTTAAACTAAATATTAACTTGTTGATAGTCTAGGTTTTAATTGTTTTATCTTAACCTATCTGAAACGTCAAGAGCTATGGAATGCATCATCAAAGATGTGTCACCATCACCGAACAACAAGTACTATCATTTCCCCGAAAAAAAAAACAAGTGCTATCATTCAGGGGTTGCTATGCAAATCAAACCTACATATTATTGTAAACTCTTTATGAATAACATTGAGAAGCTTCGTGAGATCACGAACATGCATGCTAGTACCACAATTGTCAAGTTAAAAATAGTGATCATGTACTTGGATTCTTAGGTTGCTACTCAATACAATTAATCAATTATCAAGAATCTCATCTGCTACTCAGTAGAGGGAATCTTTTCATGATTAAAAGGCGGTGATATATGGAGTAATTAACTAGGTTCCTAGTTGAAAGTACGTATATTCTTTTAAAAGTTTGAGCAATCCCTATTGGTTTTAGGATGATCTAAACTTTTGAGAAATTCAATAACACAACAAATATAAGGACTATACAGATAAACTATGCCAAGTCATAAAAGTTTCTCAGTCTGCCTACTTCTGTGCATCCATCTATTGCCGTATATGATCTTACAGCCCATATAATTTATACGTAAATAGTGGAAACAAGGAATAAATAATTATATTGTAGTCAGCATTGTAATGCCCTGGCTAGTTAATTAGCAACCTATAATGATATGTCTGAGACCCATGTGATCTAAATAAGCGTACGTGATGAGGGTTTAACTTATAATATCCTTTCTACTTCAAGATGCTATGTATACTCCCTCTTTTTTTTCATGATATGTTTTAAGTCAGCACAAGGATTAGGAGACTATTAAACGGGTTAAAAGTACCATGCTATTTATATTTAAGTACATTGGGAATAAAAATAGCAGTTAGTGAGGCGCGTTTTATACTAGAGAGTATGAAATAAGAAGAAACAAACAAGAAAAACAAGCAACAAGTTAACACACATGCATGGCTTATATTTTGAAACAAAATGAGAAAAACTATATGCCTTACAAAATGAAACGAAGAGAGTATAAAGACACCAACACAGCCTATTCAATTCAAGTAACAATTCACATTTTAGCAATATATAAAATAAATATCGGATATATACATTCATTGATTGCTTTAGGTGCAACCGCTTGAGTTGTGTGTTATGGGTTGCAGGGTTGGTTATGTGTCCATTTGTTTGAGTTAACCAATTTTTTTATGTGTGTAAACAACATCTAGCACTAGATAATTCGCTAGCTAGGTATTATTTGCTTTATTTTATTTTGATAACACAAGCATGTTAATATATGTTAGTACCAAATATATGAACGTATCATAGATCGTGGGTTGGTAGTACACTAATAAGTAATAACTTCATAATTTTGTTCAAATGTTAGTTAGAATGAGATCTCAAGCCTTGCATTGAGTCAAACCATTTTGTAACATAGTACCCACATCTAAATAACTAAATGTATCATTGATACTCCCTCGTCCCATTTTAAATGCAGCCATGAGTTTCCGTGTTCAACTTTAATCTTTTTTCTTATTTAATTTTTTTTTAAAAAATTAAAAACATAAGTCCTGCATAAAGTACTTTATCATCTAATAACAATAAAAAATAGGACGAAGGGAAACTTATGGTTGTGCTTAAAATAGGACGAAGGGAGTGCCAATGTACCATATATAGCTGCAGAGAGCAGAAATTTATTCTCTGACAAACTTCCCATTTTCACATGGCTATAAATGCATTTTAATCAGCTCGTCACATGCATGCCCATTGAATCTCCATCTTGATCCTGACCATATATACTAGTGTAATTAAATTATTCTCAACATGTTAATTAACTGTTTCTTTCTAGTACTGTTGAATTGATGTTTCCCATTTGATTTATCTATTGTACTAATTAATTAATGTTCAAATTGAGGATGATGCATTCTGTTTGGAGCTCTACAATTCCTGGGGTATTCTCATTGACCAGGGATGATGAGATCTACTCTGCTGAATCAATAACCCTGTTCCATTTTTCTTTGCCAAAAGAAAGTTGAACATAGGTGGTTTTACAAAACATGGCGATGATAAACGAAGACTACATCTATAACCATGAAGAAGATTAACGCAAAAAAGGAGGCACACATTTTATGGTGTCGGTCATGAATATCAAATTACTCCCTATTTATCCTTGAAAGCTTACTAAATCCCTCTCGTATCCCTGAAATTTACCCAATCTCTTCTTTACCCTCTCATGCCCCTGAAATTTAAGAAATTAAATTAATCTTCCTATATGATCTAATTTAATTTCAGAACTTTTTCGAAAGAGCAGCCACATGTATGCGTATTACAAGCATACTGACATGCTTTCATATTTCAGTTATATGTGTTGGTGTATATGAGCACGATATCTCTAGGTTTGGTAGTTTAGCTTTTGTATCAGGCTCTGCCTTATTTGTTATATGGTCTATTACCTCTAAATATAATAAATTAAGCTCTTATCCTCCAAGCCATGTACAAATTTAATCGGTCTCTCCATATATATGAAATCAATAAATTTGTACACCAAATATCTCCAAAATAGATCATCACTCAAAGAACTGTTCCCTTGTCCCAATTGCATCATCCTTGTGCTCTAACCTTTTTTATATTTGGCCTTTCAACTGTACTGAATTTTACAATAGATTTGAAAGCGATGTTGGGGCCTTAGGGGAGAAACAATATTCAATATGGTGTTAATATTGTTATGGCCTTTGATATATATAGCGACATGCTTATGCCATATGGGCTGCGGTACTGTGTTTTTATTGAAACTTTTCTTTCCTAAACACGTGGAGCTATGCTCAGCAGTTGCGTCAGTGCTTCTCTTAATTTATCGATGAAAGTATAGTCATATATAGTGAGTAGGTTATGATTTTTCTCTATTAGAAAATTGTTTCAGAGATTTACCCTCTTACTCTTGTCTTTGTCTATCCCACCAAACCCTACTACCAGATAAAAGGGACCTTCAACTCTTCAAACAAAGAAATTAACTTAATTATCCCTATAAGGCTATAATTAACCCAATCAATAGTGGTACTAGTTCCTCGTAATATGTTGTAGAGTTTGTACTCCCACCATGTAAAAGTCTCTACTGTTATAAAAATTATATATATTTTTGCCGGTATTTTGGTAAGTCATCGTGTTTGAGTTGGTTTTTAAGTCATTTTTGAAAATATAAATCCGTATTTGAGTCAGTTTTTAAGTTCGTTCACTTTTAAAAAATACAGAATGAGTTGTATAAGAAATCTCTTTAAACAAACTCACAGGCTAACTTAAGACAATCGAACTCCTAATTACAACTTATGATTTTGTAAGAAAAATATCTAAGCGAATTTCCATAGGGAATTTGACCTTAGCTAAACAGTACAACAATAATAAGATTAAAATAGCCTTCACCTGTTGCAATGCACGGGCATTGTGTGTGTGTGTATATATATATATATTTGATATTTAAATTTTATAAAAATCATAACTTTTAAGTACTAATTTTTCCTCCAAAAACCTCTCATTCAAATTTCTTTTCATCTTACCCCTAATCACGTTATTCAATAAGGTACTCTATATGTTTCAGTTTATTAAAGTTCTAGCAAATTTTACACTAAACTAAGGGGTGTGGCAAATTGCTACCCTCATTATTAATTGTATCCTAATCTCCTTCGGTTTCAGTTTATTTAAAGTTCTAGCAAATTTTACACTAAATTAAGAGGTGTATTAATAAATTGCTACGACCCTCATTAATTGTATTATAATCATTTTTTTTCTAAGCAAGCATCAAAATTCCTTGTAAGGAGTATAGGAAGAAAAAAGACATCTCTAAAAATATTTTGGAATATGAAGACGACAAGTATTTTGGCAAAATTTTGACTTCTAGAACAACATGTAAACTGAAACTGAGGGAATAGCTCATTTCTCTTCCATACTAGTTTATTGAATGCCATAATTTTTTTTTTGGACTGAGGGACCAGTGGTTTGGTCATACGGGGTTCAATCGATATTGGATAAAAACTAAGCGTATATGAGAGGGTTAAACCGGAAAATAATCCGACTACGAGACATGACATATGCATGTTTACATACGCAATTCAATTTTTATAGCTAAGATGTATTTTGAGATGGGTCTACTTACGCAATTCAAAGGCTGGATCTCAGAGATTAGTTTTTAGGTTAAATTCACCGGTAGAAAAACCATCTTTGCTCGGTCGTCCAAAATCCACAATAGTCCCGGTTCGAATAGGAACCGGGACTAAAGATTATTTTTAGTCCCGGTTAAAAAATTTTTGATCACCAACCGGGGCTAACGATCATTTTTAGTCCCGGTTCAAAAAGTTATCGGACCGAGTTAGACCCCAATTCTTTTTTAGTCCCGGTTGGTATAAACAACCGGGACGGACAAAAAAAAAATCAACCGAGCTGGCGCCACTGCCACGCCCGGCCACCTCGGTCTCTCCCCCTTTTTTTCCCTCTCCTCACATTAATCCCTTCTCCATCCTTATCCATCCCTCCTCCATCCTTATCCATCCCTCCTCCATCCCTTCTCCTCTCCCATTCCTCTCCCTTCTCTTCTCTTCCTCCTCCTCCTCCTACCACGTGAGGCCGGGCGGCGCGCGGCGGTAGGGAGGGCGTGGAGCGGCGGGCGGCCGAGCAGGCGGCCAGCGAGGCGGCGGTGCTCCCCGGGCGGGCGGTGGAGCCCGAGGCGGCGGCGCTCCCCGGGCGGGCGGCGGAGCCCGAGGCGGCAGCGGGCGGGCACCGGCCGCCGAGGCGGCGGGCGGCGACGCTCCCCAGGCGGCGACGGAGCCCGAGGCGGCCGAGCTGGAGGCCGGCGAGGCGGCGGATGGCCGGCACCCGATCTCTGCGATGTGGTTTTTTCCTGATCTGTGCGATGTGTGCGGCCGATCTGTGCGATGTGGATTTCTTTTTCTGATCTGTGCAGCCAATCTGTGTGATGTGATTTCTTTTTCTGATCTGTGTGATGTGTGATGTGTGAATGAATTTGTGGGGATGATTTTGTAATTTTGTGAATGATTTGTGATGTAGGCTATGTTTAGTTCAGCGTAAAGTTTGGATTTTGGTTGAAGTTGGAGATGATGTGACTAAAAATTTGTGTGTGTATGACAGGTTGATGTGATGGAAAAGGACTGAAGTTTGGATCCAAACTTTGGATCTAAACACAACCGTATTTGGAGATAGAAAATGCAGCTTGATGTATTTGGGGATTTTGTGAATGATATGTGGTGTTAGAATGATTTGTGGATAATATGAATGATTTGTAGGGCTCGAAATCATGCAAGCAGCAGTAAAAGAAAAAGAAAAAAAAGAACATTAGTCCCGGTTGGTAACTCTAACCGGGATTAGATCTTTAGTCCCGGTTAGTAACTCCAACCGGGACTAAAGATCCTTTTTTAGTCCCGGTTATTTCAACCGGGCTAAAAATGAGTATTTTTAGTCCCGGATTCGTTAGTCCCGGTTACATAACCGGGACTATAGGGGGTTGTGAACCGGGACTAAAAAGGGTTTGTTCACCAGTAATTGGATCAACACACAAGAGTTAATCGGGTAACTATATCGTATTATCTTGGGCATAACTTGATACCATCTTTTTTGTGGATACCAGATACCAGTGTCGTGATCGAGCCAGCTTGGCTCATTTTGAAAGGACTCACCTTTAATCTTTCTATACCTTCTATCATCGTTCGCTAGCAATAATTATATATCAAAATTTATACAACCATGCAATATCATTTACAATATATTTAATTCTACAAATTAACACAAATTAACATGAAAGCATTTCCAATCATGATCCCTCACATTATTTTTATAATATTTAAACATATATATTCATCATGCATTGAAGTGCGGGATACTAGTATCATTTACTCTCTCCATCCCAAAATATAAAGGATTTGAGAGAGTCCAAATTCGTAGTGCTAGAATATTCACATTCCTTCAAATCGATGAAGAGAGTAGTTTGTTTCATGATTAGTAATTTAGTATTACATAACTTGATTAATATTTCATTTACAATCTCCCACAGAGTCTACTAAATCTATTTCTTTCTAAACATTGTTTGGAAAAACCAATTTTAGTTGTCACTAATAACGAATATCCTTTTTACGTACTCCTAGTATGATTGTTGAAAAAAAACCATATCAAAGATTACTTAACAATTCTCCTAGCAAAGCATGAAGAATCAACTACTATTCTTCCCGTCTCTAAATATTTAACCCCATTGACTTTTTTAAACATGTTTGACTATTCGTCTTATTAAAAAAATTTAAGTAATTATTAATTTTTTCCTATCATTTGATTCATTGTTAAATATACTTATATATATATATAGTTTTATATATTTCACAAAAGTTTTTAAATAAGACGAACGGTCAAACATGTTTAAAAAAATCAACGGCACCAAATATTAAAGGACGGAGGGAGTAGTTCTGATCTGATCAATTGAGTACTCAATTGTGATCTTATGTACGCATGACAATTTTTCGCTAAATTTCAGTCACACTTATTATATTTCAAATTTCGAAATTTTACTTGGAATATGCATAAATTACGTCCCGCATCAAAACCTCAAAATTAATTTCGTGACATTTCAATCGGTTTTCGAGCTATATATGTAGAAATATTTGGAGTTAATATGCCTCCGATCCGGCCGGCCGGCCGGCCATCTGCACGTAGAACGCACGCACGCGTGCCGACATGCCGCAAATCGGCCGCGTCAGCTACGTTACTCCCTAGCTAGCTAGCCGTCAAAAAATGGAAACAATCCGTGCTTGCCCAACGATACATCATATGGTCCATCCGGCCGAACCGACGACCACGACGAGGTCAGTTTCGACCTGCTGCATGCCAAAGTCGATCGTCTACAAATCAAATGTAATGGCAATTAATAGGAGTAGTAATTAAGCTATATATAGCTTACATTGTGTAATTAGCTGCTAGGAATTAATCGCATACCGGTGGCTTACAGGCTGGCTGGCTCAAAGCTATGCATACAATATTTATGTACTCCCTTCGTAAAAAAAATACCAATCCTAACTTTAAATATGAATATACACTATATCCAAATTTAAATTTAAAATTAGATTTAGCATTAGGCTTTTCTTAATAGCAGAGTGAGTAGTCGTAAAAGAAATTGTTTTGGACAGTGACAGTCTAAAAAAACACAACTTTGACTTCTTATTTCTAATAAAATATTATTGAAAAGTGATATATGTATATTTTTATGAAAGTATTTTTGAAGACAAATCTATTTATATAATTTTTATATTTTTAAACTCAACAACTTGAGAGTTATTCATAATTTAAATTCTCAAGATTTGACTTAAATATTGTTCTCAACGATTTTCTTTATGAGTACGGAGGAATTAAGTAGGAAGTCGGTTGCGAGATGGAAGCGTCGTCGTGGCGGCTGACTGGGTCAGGTCTCTAGTCTGCAGGCAAGGTCAGGTGCTTTTGCTTGTCGGCAACTCGGCATCGATCGTTACTTTCTTGTCTACTCCTACTCATTATTATTAATTAATGGGGGTAGTAGGTCAATTTAAGTAGGCACACGCACGCGTCCAAACTCGACCCCCAAGCTGCATCTGCATGCCGACCGCGAGGAGTTGTTATAAGCCATACACGGAGTATGTAATTAACCCCTCGGACACGCCCCCGCGTTCCACAGCGATCGCCGACGTCGATCGAGATCATGGGCGCGTTGCTATATCATGTTCGATGGAAAAAAAAACAGAAACAAAACCTCGCAAATTTCAAACCTTAATTTATATCCACTTAACGATTCGTGCTTAATTTAGGATGTCTTCGGAACCTGTTCCCAACACTAGGTGCCTGCACGGAAAATGGAGGAGCGATTAGCGGGTAATTAATTAAGTATTTGCTATTTATTTTAAAAAATGGATTCATTTAATTTTTTATGCAACTTTCTTATAGAAACTTTTTGCAAAAAAATGCACCGCTTAGCAGTTTGAAAAGCGTGCGCGTAAAAAACGAGAGTGATGGGTAGGGAAGAGGGGCTGCCGAACACAGTCTTTGCAACTGCGTGCAAGCCCCTGTGACCTCCATCGCCATGGCGCCGCGCAGATTCATGTTCCTCCATCGATTCGAATACCTCATTCACTTCAACAACCAAACACAGTCTGACCGGTTGATGTTCTCCTGGATCGATCATCAGTCAATCCACACCGTTGATCTCATTCACTTCATCCGCTATGCCTACCAAGGGCATTTATATTTGCACATCATCTTATTGAAGCTAGCAAGCCTGCAACCAATTCCTGCTCAGTACTATCGATCCTCCATCCCTATCTCCCTGCAGTCGTACCGCTAGCGGCGCCGCCGCCGACCAACAAGGCAAAGGACGACGGAGCCTCGATCTCCACGTCTATATGTTTATGATTCGTAAGTCTGCGATGCGCCTGCTCAATCTGTTTGGTAGTATTTTCTCGTGTTGTGTCTTTGGTTCATGTTTGCCCAGCAAATTCCTGATTAATATGTATGCTTGTGTCCTGTACGCTTTCACTCGCACTGCAGACTAACGAATATTGGCTATAGCCGACTGGGGGTGCCTGACGAGATATGGCCGTTGCACTGCCATCACACATTCACACCAGCTTCGACATGAACAAAGCTGCAGAGTATTGAAAGCTGATTCTGTGATTCGTTTAATTTGTACTACTAATTTATTATATGAGCTAGGCAAAATCACATAGCATTTACATACATGGTTTTTTTTATTCGTTTACGTGCTATTTGCCATTTTGTAATTAAATCTGTTAAGCGAAGAACCACTTACATGGACAACACTCAATCTCACATGTTTTAGCACTAATTATAAATTATTCGTACATAATTTTACCACATATACATGGTTTAATTAGTACATAATATAAGGTTTTTTGCTTGCCTGCTTTGAAATTGTTATCCAAACGAGCAAGTAGTTTCCATCTTGCAAGATATCAGAATTATATTGGCAATTTAACGTACAAATGTCTCGGCTAGATTGCATATATGAACTCATCTATTGAGCAATAGTTTTTATTTAGTCAAGAAAGCTTATTTTTCTTACAAAGTCTTGCCGCAACGCGTGGGGTATCCACTAGTTATATAATGTTTCTAATCCCATGAAAACTTTAGAATCCCTGAACAAAGTTGGTTATTTGTTGTTAGAGTCTACTGGCTTACGTCTCTTTGACAACATATATATTAGAGGGTCCACTCGAGGATATATGTACATGCGCTTTTTGTGTAATCACAAAAATGAAAAGAACATTATTATGGCTCGAATGTCATTAGATGGTCAAATGTTTCATTGGATGCTCGCATACAACATTTACAAAATAGAGGTGGATCATTACTTTAAAAAACAGTAAGATACCGACATATATACATGTTTAATTAGATGTTTGATACAACAATATAATCTACATGTATAAGGTGTGAAACATCACTTAAAATAATTATTACAATATTTCATAAAGATTGTGCCATGTCCAAAAATCAGTGCAACATTTCTAGAAACAACTGGTATACCATTCGAATGAAAAGAGTGAAACACTTGAATGCAAAATTACAACAAATAAAAGAAAGACCACAACAAGTTGTAAAGAGTATGCAGAAGGAGCCTATCAGTCTAAATGTACATATATACTTGCTCCCTTTTATCGGTCGGATCTAGTCTCTATCAATGTTACCAAAGTGGACCAATGTTGAGCTTTGTTAGGATCCAACAAGTGGTACCTCTAGGTAATAGTACCACTAGGTACCAAATAAAATCCAGCCGTTGAATTAGCAGGGTACGATTGGAAACGAACCGAAGCGGGGCGGAGAGAAGACCCGCGACGCGAGCAGTTGCGTATAGATGCCATAATCTCCTCGTCGTCCTCAAGCGCCCGCGCCGACACCATGATCTCCAAGTCCTCATCCGCCGCAGTCTCTGCCATCGCTGGACCGCCGCAAAAATCTCGATACGATGCCGGCGGCTTGCCTGCTCCTGCTGGGCTGCATGCAGGCTGCTCCCATCCGCGATATCCCAAACAAAATGTTATGCAAGGGCTCCTAAGCTCCTCTAGAAAAATGTTTTATCCGTTGATATTAGCATTTGGCTTATGGAGAGATAATCGGCAGTTAACATCGCATAATCTCGTACAGAGGAATCAAATTAGTGCCGGGGAGGAGAGAGGATGCTGGAAAGTAGTCGAGCAGTCGTCCCAACATATCAGCCCACGTCCTCCGATGTCGCCGCCGCGTCACCGTGGCCGCCTCTTCGTCATCGTGCTCGTAGCCAGCCTGCCCACGAGCTCAAGGAGATCTTCCCGTTCCCGTCGCCGCCCTGAGCTATATCTGGCGCCCCGAAGTCGGCGGCGACCGGATCTGGCCCGGAAGCCGGAAGGGGGGAGTTGAGTTGGGATGGGGTAGGGTGGTGACGGCAGGTTGCGGCGAGGGAGGCGGAGGTGTCCACCGATCTGGCCGGCGAGATTGGTCGCGCCGCCGCCATGGAGGACGTGCTGGAGGGGGATCGGGAGGAGCGGCGTTGGGAAGGAGCCTGCGGTACAGGAGTCAGGGAATACGGACCATGCGAAATCCTAATTTTGCCCTTCCGCTTCTTCAATGCATGCGGATGGGATTTCTGTACCTGGCGGTACCGAGGATCGATAGCCGTTGGATTTACCTATATGGATGGTTCAGATTACAGGTACCGGGAGGTACCAAAAGTTTGGATGGACGGTAAAAAAACTCTAGAAGGAGAAAAGGAAAAAAAATAGAGAAGCTTTGAAGGGCTCGGTAGTCTAATGTACACATGCACTTCCTATATAGTGTGTAATTGATTTGGATTTTAAATCAGAATGAAAGAGGAAAAATGCAAGTAAAAAAGAACTGTTGGATATCTTAGATGACCGATTGGATCCAAATGCCAAATGCCATAGAGAGACAGAAAACAAAACATGGACACCACATACGTGAAAACCACAAACAAGCATAAGGGTAAATTCGACAAACTTGCTTCAAGAGTTGAGAAGCAAGTTTTATACGTCCGGTTTTGAATTTTGGAGACCAAAGTTAAAACATTTGAAATGTTGAAGGAAAATAAATACTTCTTTTAGCACAAAAATGATTAGCTATATCACACCTATATCTTATATACCACATTCAAGGTAAAAAATCAAGCATATGATTGGGCCACGTGGCTCCCTAAGATTTTAGGGTTTGCTCCTTTGAAAATCAGCCACATGTCCCGTGAGATTCAGCTAGAGCGTCGATCGTGCAATGTCTCATCTCTTCTATTAATCTAAAGCTAACGGCTAGCCATTCTTCTAGCGTTTCATTGGTCCACATGGCATGTTTCATTCGTCCAGCCCTCTCGATTAGTCCAGACACTGGACCGTGAAAAAGAAAAAGAAAAATAAAAGAAAAGCCATTGATTCATTCACTGTCTGTCATGGGCTGTACAGCCCAGTCACGCACTCATGCATGACTGCACTAGGCCTGGTCATCTAGCGTTGTTGCTACAGTATTTGCATGTTGCACTTTACCTTCTCGGGCTAATTAATTAGTAATAACACAAACAGGACCAAACAGAAATAGGAAAAAGGAAGGTAGAAAAAAGTATAAATAATTTTGTAAAAAAAATCTTCAAAACATAAAATATTGATATCATGTATTTATATAAAATAAATAATAATCGGGAAAAACTAAATATCAAATATAAAGTGAAAGAGATTGGATGAGAATTTGTAATACTAAGAACCGTTTTTTCAAATATGCACTTTATCATTGATACTATATGTACGATTTTTTGGTTAATGAAATCACAACAATTTTGAGGAAACATAACTTTAAATTTTCTAATAGAGTCTCTAGCTATTTGCCAAATTATTGATCATCATTAATTACAATCTTACTTTGGTTTTTCTCATAATTCTAAGACAAACATAAAATTAAATTCCATTAATATGTCCATTTGAAAGAATTTTTTCAGAGTTAAACTTACTCATGAAACAATATATTACTCTGCATGTTTAATATTACTTGTCATTCTCACATTTCAAATTATTATTTTTACATCGTGGTCTTCTATCTTCACCTTTTAAATGCCATGTATAACTATTAATCAGTTAATATTGCTTTTGAAAACGATTATAATGTAGTTAATAAGCATATAGCAGTGTAATTTGCCACATCTCCTTGTTTGATGTGAAATTTTGCTAGAGTTACAAATAATATAAAATGAGAGGTAGTCAAATATATTACAGATGAGCCATATTACAGGCTAAATTAGGTGGCACGCCAACAGGCGTGCAGATCTTCTAGTATAATTCTATTCTACGATTCACGAAAGACAATCTTATAATAACTTTCCCTGATTAACATGCAAGCAACTTCAATTTTGTTGTTCGTACGATTCAACTAGGGATGTCATTCTCTATTTTTTTTATAGGAATAAGTTCACTTTAGGTTCCTTAATTTATCGTTCAGTCTGATTTTCATCATTCAACAAAAATACCAAATACAATCTGTGTCCCAACTTACAAAACCAATGCAAACGAGGTCCCTCGATAGTATTGTCCTCGGTTTTAACTGACGTGACGTCCATGTGACTCCTTTGACTAAGGTCTTCATCTCACGTAGCATTGACGTGGTACTTATGTGACAGTTTGATCCAAAATAAATAGAAGGAGCAAAATTAAAAACTAAAAAAATTAAAACAAATATGTGGGGCCCCATGTTAGCCAAACAAGAAGATAAAAAATAGCGGGACCAACATATCATGGCTCCCACTTTCTCCACCTCACCCCTTTACCCCTTTATCTCTGTCACCTCTCTCCACCGGTGAGCGCGCATAGAAAGAGACGAGGCTAGGAGGGAGGGGGTAGGAATGGAGGAGATGAGGAGGACGAGAGGGACTGAGAGGCCGGCGAGTCTCCTCTCTCTCCACCACCCTTGCCGCTTGGTGCAACAGTAGCCGAGGGGGCGAAGATCTAGGAGGGAAAGGAGAGCGACCGCTACTCTCCCCCATCCGCCACGTGCCCATCACCTATCTTGCCGCGTGCTGACTTGGAAAGATGGGGAAGATAGAGCTGAAATAGGTTGGGAGGAGAAGGAAAAAGTACATCGAAGGTCCCTCAACTTGTCATCAAATTACAAAATCGTCCTTAAACCACAAAACCGGATACAACGTGTCCCCCAACTTACAAAACCAGGGTAGAATAGGTCCCTCGGCAGTTTTGACTCCAGTTTTATCCGACGTGGCAGCTGACTCAGCGTGGGACCCATGTGGGTCCCACGTGTCAGCCCCTTCTTCCCCTCCCCTCTCTTCCTCTCTCCTCTTCTTTTCTCTCTCCCTTTGCTCCAGTTCGGCAGGCGGGAGTCCGACGGCCGGCGACGGGCGATGAGGCGGCGGCGGCGGCTGCGACGAGCGACGAGGCCGCCCGCTCCGCCTCCACATCGCCTCCGCCTACTCGGAGCGGGAGGCGGCCGCGGCCGACGACGACCTCGCCGTGGGACGCGCTCATCGCCTACGCCCGCGCCCTCTCCCTCATCGAGCCCCCAGATCCGACGACGACGACAACCGCCGCGTTCAACTCCTCGCCCCCCCACCCCCGCCGCCGCCCAGCTCCTCCCCGGCGGCTGCCGGCCGCGCCCATCTCCGGTTCGATTGATCGACCATGCCTCCCCTCGTGGCGCCGGTGGAGCACAAGGACGGGCCCTGCAGGCAGCGGCACGCGGCGGTGGCGGCGATGACAGCGGCAACGGTGGCTAAGCCGCAGCAGTGGTCGGCGTCGTTCCACGGCGCGGCGCGGCGGAGCAGCGGTCGCTGACGCAGCCTGACTTGCTCGCCGAGCATGTGGCCGCTGCACGTGATGGCGCGCTTCGAGTGTCGCGTGGCTGACCTGGTCGCCGCCGCCGTGGAGCTCTACCTCCGGGAGGGGCGCCGGCTGCTGCTGCTGTCCGCCGACCCCGCCGCCTTCGGACTCTGCTTCTTCCTCTCCCCAAAGGCCGCAACGATTGCCGCAATCACCGCCGCCGCCGCTCCTCCCCCACCAGTTTAGGGATGAGAGAGGAAGAGAGGAAGAGAGAGGAGGAGAAGAAGGGGCTGACATGTGGGACCCACGTGGGTCCCACGCTGAGTCAGCTGCCACGTTGGACAAAACCGGAGTCAAAACCGCCGAGGGACCTAGTCTACATTGGTTTTGTAAGTTGGGGGACGCGTTGTATCCGGTTTTGTGTTTTAAGGATGATTTTGTAATTCGATGACAAGTTGAGGGACCTTCGGTGTACTTTTTCCGAAGGAGAATGTTCCGCCCCATTATAAGCCCACTGTTGAATGTAGTCTATACATGTACAAATTGTGAGCTAGGATGACGTTTTACTTTTTCCTGGGAGCAAAAAGGAGGGGGAAATCATAAGAACTAAGAAGCACTAGGTGAAACCCCGCGCATTACTGCGGGAATTTAGTATGATAACAATAAAAAAATAACGTTTAAGATAGCTAGATAACATCAGATTAAGTAAATTAATGTGGTTTATGATAATTTAAATTTAAATAGTATGTAGAATGGTGATTCAAACGTAAAAAGTAAGGTGGTATGACTTTATGGAAGAAGAAAAGTAGGAAGATAGTTTGGACCGTAGATTAATCATCTAAAGGCTAAATACAATTGATGTGATATGACTTAATTAGAGGAAAAAATGATAATTTGGACCATAGATTAATCATTTAAGCACTAATTGAGGATGAACTATATATAAGTATATAGGATATCATAAAACATAAAACATAATAAAGATATACATTGAAACATTATGTGAATTATGTTGGATGATAATTTAACATGTTTGTATTTCAAAAGCTCTTAAATTATAAAAACTATAAAGATATAACATGTTTGCATGATGTTTAAATGTGATGATTGTTAGTGGATGATGATGTGTCATCTTGTTAATTAGTGGATAATGATGTGTCATCTTGTTAGTGGATGATGATATGTCATCTTTGCATGTTAAGCTTAAGGAGTTAATTAGAGGAAAAAAAGAGAAAGATAATTTGGACCATAGATTAATCATTTAAGCACTAATTAAGTGAGGATGAACTATTTAAGTATGTATGATATTATAAAACATAGTAAAGATATACATTGAAATATTATGTGAATTATGTGGGATGATAATTTAACATACTTGTATTTTAAAAACTCTTAAATTATAAAAACTATAAAATCATAGATAATATAACATGTTTACATGATGTTTAAATGTGATGATTATTAGTGGATGATGATGTGGCATCTTGTTAGTGGATGATGATGTGGCATCTTTGCATGTTAAGCTTAAGGAGTTAGTGGGGATAACTGTAAGGATTAGTTAATCAGTATTCATCAGTAACCACTATACATTTTTCTTTACTAATTACTCCTTTAAATAAAATTTTAAAAATTAAATAAAATTCTGTAAATACAAAACATATTGTTTTAAATAAAATTTTAAAAATAAAAAAAATTATTTAAATACAAAACATATTGTTAATTACTCCTTTAAATAAAATTTTAAAAATAAAATAATGTTCTTTAAATACAAAAACATATTGTTGAGAGTGGGATTTGAACCCACGCCCTTTCGGACCAGAACCTTAATCTGGCGCCTTAGACCAACTCGGCCATCTCAACTTCTTGGTCAACCAGTTATTATATTCTAATTGAAACAGTTTGTATTACAGATCACACATCTTCCGTGTACCAAATTCGCTAATCACCCGGATCGCGTGTGCCCGTGCGCGGAAAAGCAACACCAGCATGCACACACACACACCAAAAACGCAAATCCAAGCATCGCACGCTACATCAGCAACAACGGCACTATATAAACCCATCTTAACGACACCTGATTAGCAGCTCCAGTACACTAATTAACCCAAACTCCCTCCACACACATTAACCACTGCACAAACGCAGCCAGCGACAGCGAGGATGGCCGGCCGAGCCAGCTGCGTACTCATCCTCCTCCTCGCCATTGCCGGCTTCGCCGACGTCCTCGCCGCCGGCGGCGCGACGCCATCGTCGTCGTCGTCGCAGGTGAGCACGACGACGGCAGCGGAGTTGAAGGAGGTGAACGGGATGCTTGCGTGCATGATCGGGTGCTTCACGCAGATGTTCGGGTGCGCCTTCGGGTGCATGGCGAAGGGCCCCGACACGACGCTCTGCGTCGTCAGCTGCAACCAGAACAGCATCGTCTGCATGGTGCGTTGCGCCCTCACGCCGCCGCCGCCCAAGCCCAAGCCCACGCCGCCGCCGCCCGCGCCCACGCCCAAGCCTCCCGCGCCCTCGCCGTCGCCGCCGCCGCCCAAAGCCGCCGGCCACGGCGTCGCTGGCGACCCCTTGGCCTAGACATGTACAGCTCAGCTCACTCTACTATACCCCTACAAGTGCTAGCTCCTGATACGACATTATAAATGTGCCTAGCTACGTGATATATAATCAAGAATCAAGAAAATACAAACTGATAAAAGAAAAAAAAATCAAGAAATACGTATCTATGTAGATCTCATAGTTTTCATATATGCATTTATGTGGCTGAACATGTGTTTGTGCCAGCCATATGTAACAAATGAAAATGGGTCGTCAGTCATACTGAGTGTATGTATTTAGTATGACCTGAGAAATGTACTCAATTGTGTAATGTTCCATAATTATGTTCTGGAAATGAAAATTTTAGATTATATTTTTGTCTGTGCAAGCATCTGCTCTTGCCTAATAGCACTTCCTTAATTACCACAGGTTAGTATGGTCCTTCCTACATGCCAAAATCACACCAACAACGGCTGCAAAATGTGTGTATTCATCAAGTCACTTTGCTGACTGTCAGATGGGTTTCTAAGAATTAACAAGCAAATTGTAGTATAAAATGTGAGACTTGAGCAATGTGTTAAGATACGGAAGTGTAACTTAATTTACAGTAAACTGTTAATACAACTTACAGCCTGTAGTTCACCTGCAAGAGTTGCATCTCTCCCTTTACTCCACTTTGAGACAGTATGTACACCTTTTTTTTTTAGTACATAATCAATCTTTAGTCCTGCAACACAGAGTAATAACATAATGGCAAGCCAACATTACATCTGCACTAATCTATTATATTATTAAAACAGCCTTGAAAGGAGGCACCATGTTCGCTGTTGAGACTAGAAATTCTCACATTAATCGGAGAAAAAGAGAAAAAAGCTACACCTTTAGATTATACAGTGCATATAGATTAAAGGGTGTAGATTTATTGGGCAATATTTCTATTGGTATGAAACAAACTCTATTTATATAATAAATAAATAGGAAAGGTTAAAGTACTTCTAACGAGCATGCATGTCAGAGTCCTAATAGTATTTAGGCAAGGTATGTCCGATTGGGTGTGGAAAAAAAAGGAAAAAAAAACACAATCCACGGAAGGAAAGGGGAAAAAAAGATGCACAGTCCACGGAAGAGTATTTTGTAGCTACCAAAAGTTCACTTGCCCAGATAATCTTGATGCCACTCTAAAATCACGTGCATTCATCCATCTTGCTATCAACACCTACACGATAGATCACTGGAAATAATTTTGTAGCCTACCAAAAGTTTTTTTTTCTACTTAAATACATATTTGAGGAGTCTGTTCACTATATTGGAACTAGAAAAAATATGCATAATTATATTTGACGTTTAATTATGCGTTTAATTATGAGGGCTTTATATTTACCCCATTAATCATATTTAAAAAAGTTTAGACCATTAATATGGTTGATTTAATTTAAATAAGTTATAACAAAACATATACAGTATATAAGTTAATCGTATAAAAAAATAAATTGGCGTCATGGATCACTTTAATAAATAATAATTATAAACACACGGGTTCAGACAAGAAGGACAAAAAAAACATCCATGTCTTCGTAATATTTACCACTTTGTGAACCCTTTACTTGAGAAAATAAAGAACAAGTTATTATGCCATATGTCATATGTTATACTCCCTCTGTTTCATATTATAAGTTATTTGATTTTTTTTCTTATCAAAGTCGTTAGGTTTGACCAAGTTTATAGAAAAATACATTAACATTTTAATACAAAACAAACATATTATTAAAATATATTCAATATTAAATTTAATGGAGCTACTTTGGTATTGTAAATATTACTAATTTTTTCTATAAATTTGGTCAAACCTAAAGAAATTTGACTAAGAAAAAAGTCAAATGACTTATAATATGAAATGGAGGGAGTAGCACCTAAAACATAATTTCATAGACATCCAACGTCACCCACCTACACGATCACAAGCGGTCCATGAGAAGGCCTGGTTGCGATAATTTTGGTCTATGGTGGGAGGCTTGGGGTCGCCTATGTAAAAGAATTATCATAGGCAGCCCACTACGCTGGCCACCTCTAGAAATACATTTATTTTTTAGGACTACAAATAACGGGTGTAAGTGGGTAAGCCGTTAACTCACTTATAAGTTAAAATAAGTAGGTTCATAACTTATTTTGACATATAAGTGGGTTTTGTGGCTTATCTACTTACACTCTTACTACAAATAAATAATAGTTCATAGCAAAATACAATATATAAATATCCAAAAGTAAGAATAATAAAAATTTTGAATAACAAATAATATAAATTCTGAAATTGGTTTTCAATACTAATCCAAATAAAATTGTAACAACCCAAAATAAATCAGGAATATATTTAGAAATTAAAAAATCCGGAATAAAAAAAGGAATACGAGGAAGAGTACCTCTAGAACACAAAACGAGATTAATAAAAATCTAGAATAAAACATAAAATAAATTCTAAATTGGGATTTGAGTACAATTAGAAAAGAATTGAAGAATGCCACTAAAATTTCTATCAAATTATAATAAACCAACAAGAAAAGACTACATACCAAGAAGGGTATATAGCAAAATACATTATGAAAAAAGGCACCACGTTCGCTGTGGGGGCTAGAACTTCCCACATTAATTGGAGAAAAAGAAAAGGAGAGTCCAACTAGAAATACAATTTAAAAACAATTGAAATTCGAAATTAAAAATAAGCAATATTGAAAAAAGAGTCCTTATAAGAACCCAATACGAGATTAATTAATATTCAAAATAAAAATAAAATAAAATTCAAAATTAGCAAAAATAAAAGGAAAAGAAGAGTTCCGGTAGAAATACAATTTAAAAATAACTTCGGAATTCCCACATTAATTGGAGAAAAAGAAAAGGAGAGTCCAACTAGAAATACAATTTAGAAATAAGTGAAATTTAGAATTAAAAATAAGCAATAGTGAAAGAAGAGTCCTCATAAGAACCCAATACGAGATTAATTAATATTCATAATAAAAAATAACATATGAAATTAGTAAAAAGGAAAAGAAGAGTTCGAGTAGAAATACAATTTAAAAATAACTAAAATTCAAAATTCCCACATTAATCGGAGAAAAAGAAAAGGAGAGTCCAACTAGAAATACAATTTAAAAGTAACTGAAATTCAGAATTAAAAATAAGCAAAATTGAAAGAAGAGTCCATATAAAAACCCAATACGAGATTATTAAAATTAGGAATAAAAAATAAAATAAAATCCGAAATTAGCAAAAAAACAAAAAGAAGAGTTCGAATACAAATACTGTCAGGGTTACGGGTTAGGTATACCCTTTACCCTTCGATATACGTCGCATATCGGTATGGCATACCCACGCGCATACGGATACCCTCTGCATATATTAAGGAAATCCTTCACGGAGTTTACGGACGAAAAGAGTCCTACTCGGACAAGACTGGGTCGTCAATGTATCGTGTAGGGTCTGATGTCTCCAAGTTCGACTTGGAAACCGCCTGACCTGTGATATAAAAGGGACCCCCGGGGAGGACCTAAGGCATCGAATCTCAGAGCCAACACAACCCCCACAGCATACGAAGCCGGAGCCTGCAGGAGCCAAACCGCTAGGGATCTAGTCGAACCAACTCGACTACGATCTCGCCGGATCCCTCGAGTTCCACCGTTCCCTTTGTAATCTGTGTTTTTCCATCATATAATCCCGCATCAACTGGATTAGGGCTATTACCTATCAAGGGGCCTGAACCAGTATAATCTTTGTCTTTTGTTTGCTTGATGTCGTACTACGTAGATCCTTATACCAACATACCCCAATACCCTCTATATCCGGTCTACGGGTATCACCCATCGACAGTGGCGCGCTAGGTAGGGGGACTTGGTGCTCAAGGTTCTACTACTATGTCATCCAGCTTCGTCGACAACAACTTCAACACCAACCTCAACCAGGGATTCCCTGCTTCAACAATGCTGGTGTGGACTCAAGTCGGAGAAATCGTCTTCCCAGTTTACACCACAATGCTGATCTCAGCCGGTCCATCAATGACCGGAAACGAGAATGCAGTGGCTACAAACCAAAACGACTCCATGTCGAAAGATCCTCCCGCTGAGGCGGAGAACGGAACATCAATGACATCCGAGCTCGAGAAGGATTCCAAGGCGGCCAAACCTTGTCACTCCGACAAGAACCACGAGCCGACAAGGATAACTTCTGAAGCGACAAGGTCCTGGTGTCCTATCCACAAAACCAGGAAACATACTTTGCAAGCCTGCTGGGTTTTCTCAACGTCTGCGCCGAAATTCGCGCCTGCAAAGAGCGTGGAATTCAGCGTATTTCTCCAACTCGTGATGTCTATTGTCCTATCCACAAGACAAAAAATCACGACCTCTCAAGCTGCAAGGTTTTTCTCAGCGCCATGAAGGTGTCATCTCCTAAGGTCCAATAGTCACACATCCCCATCAGGGATAAAGACAAGGAACGAGGAGCGACACCAACTTCAGATCGATTTGTTGGGGTAATCGACATCGGTCCCCATGAACCATCAGTATTGCACCTCCTCGAAGACTATGGATCATCGACAGCGAGCGCGCCGCGGGAAGTATTGGCTATCAACGATGTCGGCACGTCAGCGCGCACCAATGCAGAAGCGGAGAATCAAGTGGCCACCCCAGCCCAGCACATCAGAGCCGTCGACGCTATACTGAGGGAAACCCCCTACGATCCCGTTCTGAACGACGATCTCGCGCGTTGGACAGAACGACTACGGGAATCAGTGACCAACCTCAGCAATGCGTTCGAAGAGGCCGCTGCCGCAGCGCACCCAGAGCAGCCACCAACTGGCGATGCCAATGGTGAAAACCCTGAACGGAGGGAATCGCCTCATCGGGCCACCCCTCCACCTCGCGGCACCGGCGATCTCCGCGATCACCTGAACGGCCACCAAGAGGCACGACGCACACGAGACAACGAGAACCGTTCCCGGCGCCATGTCTCTTCACGGCATCATGATAACCAAGATCGAGGAGACTATTCAAACGAAGACCGAGACCGTGATAACCGCCACAACTGCCACGATCACAACGATCGCGAACGGCGGGCGCCAAGCGATACTGGTCGAGGACGTCACCATAATGACGACGATGATGGAGACCGGCGCCGAGACAACAGCGGAAGACTACAATAAGATTCTCGAGAGCCAGGCCGACATCCTCGTAATCGTACGCCGGAACCAAGCGACCCATCGTCATCGTCATCATCCTCGTCTTCCTAATCATCAGACAGACATCCACGAAGGACACACGATCGCCGACAACCCACCGCCCCTAGTGCTGGGTGTAGAGCTTTCAGTCGTTCCCTGCGTGATGTCCGATGGCCTGAGA